CAATATTTTTCATTATCCATTTCACTCATCTTCTATCAGTAACGTTCTTTTACTAACAAAAGCTAGGTTAGGTAGGAAAATACTTTGAAGCATGATAATAACATTCAAGCGCACAGCTGATTTCTAGCGTTGAACATTGTTGGCTCCATAGAGTTATATTTTTTTAAGTTAAGCACTCAATGTTATTTAAATGGGTTTCTTTACATCACCGAGTGAGTTTTTGATACTTTACATCACTCGAAAAGTAAGGAAGTTGTATACATCACGCTTGGGATAGGGAAGTTTAACATGGCGGGTTAGGTAAAATCAATTTAAATTATTATTTACTACACAAATATTTGTAATGTAAAACATTGTTCACCACTCGGAGCAAAAGTATATTATTTATGGTACTTAAATTGTTTTATAGTACGTGGCAGTATAGTATTATTAGTTTATTAGTTGCTTGTTGCACTGTTCTACACACTGCTCAAGCTCTACAACTCATTAAGTGGCATCCTGTCCACACACTGTTGATATATACTGAATTGTGGCATGGTGCCACTATTTCGAGTGTAGGCTGGCGCGAGAATTGGCAACGTGGCATTTGGAAAGTTATAGTTCCGGCGGACGGCGCGAGGCGCGCTAGCTACCTGTATGGTTTCGTGTTCCACAATTCGGTGTGTACCTGCGCTACTTAAACTCACATCAACGAGTTCAAAAATACTCAATTGTGGCATGTGATGTTTAAACGACGTAATAATGCTGGAAAACCTCAAAAATGATCGAATTAGCTGTGGCACCCTGAAAAAGGTGCCACAATTTTTGAAGGTGCCACAGTACGGCCGTGTGCCTGTGAAGGATGCCACTATTCGGTGAATACAAACTCACACACACACACACACACACACACACTCACACACACACACACACACACTCACACACGTAACAATGGATTGGCATGTATAGTATAATGAACCTAACTTTAAAATATCTGTCGAATAGTATGTTGGTAAAGTTCATGTTATTTAGTTTGAGAAGTTTCAAAGTTTAATAAAACTGAAATAAGTTGAGAGGGTTTTTGATTCGCAGTTTTATATTTTCATAGTAACAATTATATGTTGAAAAAATAACAAATAAAATCTAACCAGCTGACATTTTATACATTAATTCAATCCATGCCTTTGGCACAATCTATATAAATAAAATTAAAATTTTGTCTGTACATTGCTCAGAATTATATATTTTTAGGTTATTTTTACGTTTTATACATTAAAAAAGCAGAAACAAGTCTTATCTCTATTTCTGTCTGTCTGTCTGTAACACTCAAGATGGCATTTTACGCTATCTTCTCCAGGAAAACGAGAGTACCTATCACGATCCAAGTCATTTTAATGTATTCACTGGATTGGCGAGAGTGTCTTTAGCCATTAAAATATGGCCTCACTAATTTTTAAATAAAATTACGGACGTTCAAAAATGCAGTTTTGTGCGATTTTTGTCAGGTTTTCGTCTAATTTGTATCACATTATCATCTATGAAATAACGAACAGCTGTTGGGATAAAGATAATTTTTTCTAGCTGTCACTGATATGTTTAAAAATGTTGTTTACAAATGCCGCATTTCCGATCACGTTTTGAAAGCAAATCCTAACCAAGTGAGATTAAAAACGGTTTTTCTTACATAACGGATTTAATTAATCGCAAGTGCAATATTAAAGTGTAACCGTAAATGAAATTAAATAACTAGTCATCATCCAGGTCAGGAACCAGAGATTCTTTGTGTATAAAATTGTTCTTGAGCTTTGATAACCAGAAAGAAGACCTTGAATCAGTGTTGTATAGGGCTGGGAAACTTAAATTTATTAATGATCAACGACAATAGCTTACAAACAAGGATTCCACTAATTGACGGCGCTTCAATGACGGTCGTGTAAAGTGTAAAGAAAAAAAATCATAACTGCAGTGGGTGATTGTAACAGAGGTTTACGAATGATGCTAAACTCGCTTTTCCAATGTGTCACTTTCTGTTCCTACTCACTGTATGATGCAATCGCTGGACTATACAGCCAATAGGCCCATCTCTTAGGTACGTACGGCTACCCAATTATTCATAACAACCTTTTCGATGACGATCCTTGATACTGGTGTACTTTTCCCTAAAATACACGGCATACCTACTTAAGAAATAAAATTACAAACGTCCGCATTGTGTGATTTTTATCACATTTCTTTCTAAGGTTAATAGATATACCAATCATTGTTTAGTGAATACGTAATCTATTAAATAACAAAAAGTTGTTTGTATAAGGTTGTTTTTTTTTTTACTGACACCAATAAGTTTACATTAAAGGTTGTTTACAAATAAAGCAATTAATGGGAAATAACTTTGATTGCATATAACTTTTTACGAGAAAATCCAAAATCAAGAGATCAATAACCTCGGGACTTTATTAACGCCTTTAATTGGCCGGATGTACTAAAGTTATGAACTGTAAACGTTGGTTTTTGGTACTGGTTCTTTTCCTTAATACCGTTGGTAGCAGCAAGAATCATTTTTACGTTGAGTATGTCTGTTGGTAACGCAGTCCTTATTTCTCAATGTTTCACGGAAAGGACACGAGCACCTTTGATAATGAAAATGTGAACCCGAATAAAGTGTTAAATGGTGAGGTTGAGGTAGTACTTTAAATACTTGTAACCATTGTGGAAAGTAACTTTCGATAATTATAGGCCTACCTTTATGCCTCATAGATCTAAAAAACACTTTTTAGTTTAATCATTGGATTTAACATATAAACCAACAAGATCCGGGTGACATTTAATTGCGAAGCATTTGTTTTGGCTTGAAACTGTCAGATACTATATTTGCGAAAGTTTATAAATAATACTTTTGCCAGCATATCTGAAAATATGCAAACCAACTGATGTTCTTAATATAAGAAGGTTTCAACTGACTACTATAGGATCCCCGTGCGTAGAACGGGCACACAGCTAGTATCATTCTAATAAGCAATTTTTAATGCTGTTCAGTCTATTTTTTATAACCGGAGTAAACTATGTTATTATGTAAATTTTAAATCACGATTATCAGGAAAATTGAAAGAAATTTGTTTTGATAATCCCAATCATGATTTTTTTCGTATGTCGTATGTCACTAAGTTACGAACATTGTTGAACTCGTTTAGCTTATCACTTTGATTTAAAAATAAGTTTGTATTGTTAAAAACAGTTTCCCATACAAATACAAAACACAATATTTAATCTATACTAGCCTAATAATAGAAAACATAAAATTATGTTTACATATTATTATTATAAGTTGTTATCTTTAGAGGATATTCCTACTAATTAAAACTGTTGCTGGTAGGGGTCGGTCCATTTAATGACATTCCTACTTTTTGAATAAATTTTTTTATAACATCGTATTTATTGTTGCATTTCTTTTTGGTAAGTAAAGTAACAAAAGCGCTATTTAGATTTGTTTCGATAATTACACTACAAAATGTTAATCAGGAAAACAAAAAACCGGTTGATTTTTGGGTACTTACGTATTATACGGAGGCCACTTATTTTACAGCGCGCTGCGGCAGTTGGGTTAAGTTGGGTTATCATAAATATGTTTGTACACAGTCTGATAACTTTCCTAGTTTCGTTATGAATCGAACTATACGAGATGAGTCATAAAAACTTATGATAACCCAACCTAACCTAACCGCCGCAGCGCGCTGTAAAATAAGTGGCCTCCGTATAATACGTAAGTACCGATTTTTGAAATTATTAGGCATTTAAACTCTTTATACACTACCTAGTTGACATTGTTAAAATTTACCTTTAAATTCCCATGGGTTAACTAACAGTTCAGATAGTTTTAGAATAATATTTGTCAAATATCAACTCATATTTACAGTCATTTTAACACGTTATTAATATTCTCTCAACATGATGTTTTGTGCAAGCATTTTTAACAAAATACCATTAAATCTAAATTCTCATTTCATCTATTAGTGTAAAAAATGTAAGGCAAATTCACTACTTATTTTGCTTAATCTGTTCTTAGGCCTAATTATTTGGCAAGCGTTTCTTTCTTAAATCATTCAGCAGTTAAGTTAACCTCTATGCAAAAAAACTTTTTAATTTAGCCCACATTGTTAAATTTAAACGTAAAAACTCAATGGGTCAACCATAAAAAAGTGTAATTCAGATACTAGTATTAAATGACAACTCAAATAATGTTTACAGTCATTTGGACACCGTATATGTATTTTCTAGACAAATCTGTTGTAAAACGTGTTTTACTAAAACGTGAATTTTGTATAACATATTCCGGATGCTTTAGACGAAGACATCGCAAAGTGACAATGATTGAACCACCACATAAGCTCTTTCAAACAAATGTACTTCTCATCTCGTTTTACGTTTCCCTGAGAGCTTTATTCGATGACGTGTAAAACAACCTACAACGAAGTTTCCTAAAATATTACTTCCTGTATATTATGTTTGGGTAGTTTAATCGGAACTATTACACAAGTTATTGTTGTTTGCTGGGTTTTAATTTGTTTAGTAGTGTTCAAGTAAATACTTTTAAAGGGTAATTACCTTATAGGTAATATATAGTGTAATATCAATATAAGGATATATAGAGTCACTGAAAGAGTGATTTGAAACCACAGAAGAAAATATTTTCATTGTCTAGATAAGTCTAAATATTTGTATCATGTAACTCATATAACAAGATTTGCATACATAATTTTAGAGTATATAACATCAGATAGCTTTTGAGTTGGTTTATTAGGAATCATTATTGTATATATTTATTCTTCGGAGTACATAAATAATTTGCATTTAGACCATTTAGATTGACCGTATTGATTTAGTATGTACACAGTTACTTGGTCATCTTAAATTACTCACTTGTAGTTATCATACAGAGTACAAGTGTAAGTGCTGTCACCTGTTCAAACCCAGACCACGAGTCCGATAAAAATAGATCTTACATTGTTGTACCGACCAGTGGTGCTCTGCGCTGCACACAAGTGACATCTTTGTCTAACTTTTATTATCTCTTCTTCACCCTCATTTAGTCCCTCTCTTAATGCTTAGGTTTTATTAGTTACTAACTCCACCTAACCATGTTTGTCTTACCCTTGAGTCTATTCGTCTTGGCCGTTGTCTCCCTAACACCATGTTCGCCCCAGCTGGTTACCTCGCCCATGGTTACCGTGGAGCATGGGATGGTCCGAGGACACACCATGAGGACCCCCAGTGGTAGGATGATCTACGCCTTCGAGGGCATTCCGTATGCTAAGCCGCCAGTTGGTGACAGGAGATTTAAGGTAAGTGTATTTTTAAAAGACTTGTGTACACATCATTTAAGTAGTCTTTCAAATATTCATAAATATAAAAAACAATGTTACAGTAGTATCACAAATATAATATTCCATTTAATATCATTAATATGTTTGATTGTCGGAAGGTAGAAAAAGCTTTATCATTGATCTTTTAGTAAATGATTCTGATTGGAGACAACACTGATCTTTAATCAGTGACATAGTTACACAAGGCAAAAATTATGTAAACACTACTCTTTTAATAATATTACTAAGAATGTAAATATTAAAATACCCCCGCCGCAGCAAACCTGCCGACTAAGCGAATTTCCATTTGTCTGAATTGATTTTCAGTTAAATATATTTTAATAACATTAGGTTTAACGAGTACCTAGGTTTGCTGCTACAAGGAAACTAATAAAGTGTGTTTTTGAGTAAAATATTGATAGCTTAGTACAAAATAAATAAATTTGCCAAGTTTGATCAAAATATATTCATAAACAAGCAAACTACAACATTTGACAATATTCTCCATAAGAATAACATGGGAATTTTAAATTTACAATTTTTTTTAATTTTCTCCGTTACTAATAATCGAACAAAAATACTTTTATATACTAAATTATTTGTTTTTTTAAGCTCTTTAAAAAGGTCTAAAGAGAAATTGGGAAATTTTGTGTTTTGAGGGTCAAAAGTGAGAAAAACCAATTTTTACCCCATAAACCCCCCCCCCCCGTAAAGCCCCGTTCCCATGGTCCGATCGTGCTGGTTCGCGAACTCATTCAAGTTTATCCCGCTTTACACCTTTAAACCAAATTTCATCAAAATCGGACAAAAATTACTCAAGTTATCGCGTTCACGGACATATATATATATATATATATATATAAGTCTATATATATATATACATATATAAAAATTTGAACGAATAGTGTTTTTGGCCTCTGGGGACATCAAAATGAAAAAGTAAATCGGTCCCGGGTCTAGGTCTTACCGTGCCACCTACGGTAATAGCTACTTCCCTATAGGGAAATTCGCTAATAATATTAGAATTAGTTTTTCGAAAAACAAAACTATAAACGGATGAAAAAGAGTTATATAGAATTTTAATATGCTGAGCTTAAGCTGTTGTTTATTCAAGGATAACATTTTCAGATGAACTAGTTGCAATACTTAAAATGTGTATCATCTCAAAGATTATTCAAAGGAATGTATTTAAAACTATGAGATTTATTTATATTTTGAATGTTCAAAATATATTAATAACATTAAGGGGGCACAAGTAAGAAGTATTTCCTTTCACACATACAGCTTTTTAAAGTATCTTTTATTTAAATATATTGTGCACAATTGTTTATAAAAAATGCGAACAACATTCTCAAACCGATTTGAATAATCAAATTAAAAGAATACATTTTATTATCATTTTTGTATGTTGTTCATAGTCGTTTTAGGAGAGAGAAAAATATTTTATACAACAAAAGTTCAATATTGGCAACAGGTGTAACGAAAATAACATTGGTAGAACATCTGACTGCCAAGTATAAAAAGAGAAATGAAAATATCGGAGGGAATTCAATTGCTGTCTCATTGCCAACAAGATTCACCTGCCAAGATACAAGCATTTATTGTTGATTCACTCCAAATAATCAAAGCTTATTTTATGTCAATTCTTTTCACATCATTTATAGTTTAAATTAGAGGTACAAATACCAAATAGCGGGGTTGGTCTTACGCTGTCTTGCAGCTCATGGTATTTAAAAATATTTTGTTATGACATTGACTGGTTCAATGGAAAATTTATAACAGGAGGCAAAATAGATATTTTTGTAAATAGTGCGCGAAATTGCACTTTTCTGCACATGAGAGAAATGTAAACGCACGATTAGTCCAGGCAAAATACGACAAATTACCCTTAAACCTGGGCAAAATTGCTTCACAACTGATTGAAGTGGTATTCAACACAGAAAATAATGCTTTAGTATAACATATCCAAAATCGGACAAAATCCGACCATGGGAAATTACTAAAAAATCAAATTCAAAATGGCGGCAAAATTTCAGATTTTTGAGATATTTGTTTTAAGACCTCTGGCGGTATGGGATAACGGAAATCACATATACATAAATTAAATATCAGATTGGATGTTGAAATATCATATAATTACAAGAATAAACTTTATTAAAACAACAAGGGCATATGTGTATGTCTATTTAGTTTCCATAGTTACTTAAAAAAGAACTAAATTTAATAAGTTTTCTTGGACAAAATATTCATTTGAATAACTGTTATCATTTTGTTTCAATGTCCTTACATTTATTAATCTGGCACTCCCCTCAAGAAGCAGAACAAGATAGTCCGTTCTGTTTGCCCCCACAGTTGCGTAATGGGTCATAAAAGAAGAATGGTCCATTTTCAATAATCACTCTAGGGTTGGCGGAATATCAGATACTGTACGGTAGTAGGCCTACGAGTGTTTCACCAAGAAGGACATTATTCTCAGACGTTTGAACAAATATGTTAAAAAATAACTATTATATGAAACAGTAAACATGAATACTATAGTATGAAACAGTAAACATGCCAAAAGAGGCAATACAAAAAGACTACAAAACAAAAAGTCGTACCCCCATACATTTCTTATGGACGTTTCGTAGTTTGAACATTTTTTAAGATAACTTTTCTTATATCTCCAGTTTTTACTAACGCTTGCAGTTTGTTCTAGCCTTAAAATATTCTGTGATAAAAGGGTTTACATTTGAGCTATTGATCATTAAAATCGGATGATTTAGAAACGAGCTACGAACCATATCACATTATTAAATTTAATTTTTTAGATATAAGTTTTTATTAAAATAAGTATATCTCGGGTTGTTAATATGTCACCAAGTTCATTCTGGTCTCAAATTACTCAGTGAATCTTTGGCTTTAATTTTATTAACCATTTAATACAATTAGATGAATATTAATTGAGTCATGAATCTTTATTTAACAGTAGATTATTTGCTTTTCAAAATTTGTCTTTAGTTTTAGCATAGACAAAAATTCTTTTTGTCTATGGTTTTAGACATATATCCCCAATTCTAAATAGCTCCCAAAAATCTTTACCGTCTTAAATAAATAGTAACATTATTGACTTTTGTTTTAGCTATAGATTACTTATTGGGAGTTATTAGAATTGGGGATAAATGCCCTAAACTAAAGACAAATTTTGTGAAACAAATAATTTACTGTTAAATAAATATTCATGACTCATTTTAAATTTGTCAGATTTTATTAAGTGATACATAAAATTAAAGCCAAACATCCACTGAGTAATTTGATACAAGAAAAAACTTGGTGACATATTAGCAACCTGAGATATACATCTTTAAATTAAAACTTATTTCTAAAGAGTTAAATTTAATATTGTGTTAGGGTTTCTCGTCTTTAACACGTTCGACTTTAATGATCAATAGCTCAAATGAAAACACTTTTATCACCGAACATTTTAAGGCTAGGGCAAACTGCAACCGTTTGTAAAAACTGGAGATATAAGAAAAATTATCTTAAAAAAAATTCAAACTACGTAACGTCCATAAGAAATGTATGAGGGAGAATTTTCGTTTGAATATATCTTCAAAACGAAAAAAAATATTTAAAAACGGATTTTAGCATTGAAATCAGCGTGAAAATCTAATGTATAATGATGTGTCACAACACTATCTTTACGTTTAAAAAAATATATTTATATCCAATATGGCGGATCCAATATGGCGGATCCAATATGGCGGATCCAATATGGCAGATCCAAGATGGCGGCCAAAATGCGTTCCCTATCAAAATAAAGGACTAACCACAACAAATATCGGTGGTAATCTCAAGTAAATATCTCAAAAATATGCATAAAAATGCATGTGACATATTTTTTAATGTGTCCAATTTTGGGGATAACCGCCATTTTAAATCGTCATTTGAGGGGGTTTCCTGTAGACCGATTTTTTGGCAACTTTTAGTACGTCACTCTGCACACACAACACTATACTAAATAAAACCATACAATGTTTTCTTGCATTGTTTTAAGGCCATGTCCCATATTTATCTGACTATTGGTGTTTTAAAATAAATGGCTCTTAAGAAAAATTGCCGCCATTTTAAAATGTATTTTTAGACACTTTCCCATGGTCGGATTTTGTCGGATTTTGGATATGTTGTAAAGTAACATTTGTTGAGTCGAATGCCACTTCAAAGGCTCATGAAGCAATTTTGCCCAGGTCAAATCATAATTTTACTAGACAAGATCCTCAGGCGAGTGTAGAAAGTTTCTTGAGTGCGGCAAAGGCACTTTGTGCTGATGTTACACACGTACAGTTTCTATTAAGCATATAAATAACTAGTCTTTCAAACATTAAACAACTCGTTTTAGTTTAGGTTAAATCCAGGCGTTGAATGAAAATGTAATGTTAACACAAAACAACAGTTTAAGTCGTAGTATCAATGCTAATTGCTGTGAAACGCAGCACCAGCTGATCGTAGTCGTAGTATCTTTAAGCGTTGTCAACTTATATTCAAGCGTACAAGTATTACGTCACACTGTTTTGTGATGGTCGGTTGGAATACTGGAGTACGGAAAAGTAAAATGAGTGCGTCAAATGTAAGTAAATGCAGATATTAGCCACTTTTCGTACTATAATCAGTGCAATGAAGCCTGCTTTGTCAGGTAAATGTAGGAAACATTGTTTTGTTATGTGCTAGAAGTGACTGTATGTTGTTTACATTGATCCAAAGTATCTTACGTTTTCATTAGGTTTCTGTTCATCCAACGAACAAAAATCAAATACCTGGAGGATTATCAAGTGGGACAAGCGAAGCTCTTATACCATACTCTCGTTTTTGTAGGAGTAGTTGTATGTTTAGATTTGTATAAACAGGTTAAGTGTAAGAGAGGGCCACGTGGCCCTAACTTTGCCTGATTAAATAAATCATTTTTCATTTCATTTCATTATTTGTCTGCAGTAGGACCACATGACCTACCCTGAGATCAAGGGTTGCCTTTACCTCAATATTTACACTATTTTTACTTTGGTAACTGATACTATTGTACAGGAACCTCACTACCGTACCAAGCCCTGGCTGGGAGTGTGGGACGCTACTCGACCTGGTAGTCTTTGTCTGCAGTACGACCACATGACCTACCTAGAAGAAGAACCTATCATAGGAGATGAAGACTGCCTGTACCTCAACGTCTACACTCCTGAGGTGATATAGCTCATAATTCAGGGCTTAGTGAATGATTCTTGTGAATCATTCACTATGAATCGTTACTATGAATCATTACTATGAATATGTTGAAAGTATACTAACACAATCTTAATAGACAAAATAATTGAATTATTGACTAAACAGCTGTTTGCTGGCATTAGCAAAATTTAAAACGAGCTGGAAGTCGTTTTGAAAGGTTATGTTTACATTAAAACTGTTTTCGTTTTGTATATTAGTTTGCTGAAATAATGGTGCATTATGACAAAAAATATGGCTTAAAGTTTTGTTTTGCTGGCCATGCCAGCTGTCACCGTAATTTGGGGACCGAGCAGGTTTTTACATACCGGGGCCGCAAAATCAGCTGTCCGCTTACTTACTTAAAACATGAATGCATTTTAAATACACAATCAAAATCCATAGCATTGCAGTAGAATTGTGTTATTGTCACCGTTGCCTACCAACTATTTATTTTTATTTTTGCTAATTCCTCAAATTATTTCTTTACATAACCTTAAAGTTGTAGTTTTGTTGACTATCAGTGTGCATTATTATAGTGGTGAATAGTGGTAATGGTGAAAAATAGCGTTCGTACCACGGACCGAAATGGTTTTGCAGCTCTCGATCGATTTAAGTTCTCGACTTCGTCTCGATCTTAAAAACTATCTCGAGCCGGCAAAACCTAATTTTCGGCCCTAGGTACGAAATATACTATTTTGATCTTAAAAGTGTACTAAAAAAAGTAACTTTACGCAATAGTGATGAAATATACTATTACACAGTTTTGTTATCATACTTTTGTTTATTACTTTTTTTTATAATCCTATTGGCTTAGTGGTAAAAAGTTACTATTTTACTCTTTTTAACTAGGGGTACGTATCAACTGTTTGTATATGTTCATGTTTGACTTCATATCGACGGAATTCGTATCTTAGTTTATTAAAAGTACAGATGTATTTAATTTACGTTAGGTAGCGTAACTATTTTAATATATATGTTGCTCCATATGGTAAGATGTTTTTACTAATTTTCGTTAAAAATAGGTAGGGTTTAAATAAAACATTTTAAGTCAGGGTATCTTTTAAAAATTGATCTTGCAGCTACAGTACATAATTCTCAAACGTGCAACAGCCGAACTAATACAACGTACTAAGTAGAATTATAAGTTTTCACCAATAGCCTACATTTTTATAAAGGTAATTTTGGAAAACTAACTTGTATAGTTTAATTTTTGTTCTATAACCAATGCTGGATAATTTTGTCAACTTTTCTGCTTACTCTCATTGTTAAAATGCAACACATCGTTATACCATCAACAATCAAAATACAATTATTATAAGTCAACCCCGTAAGAAGGACGTATCCTATGCTAGTTCCCTATAAGAAATAACATGTACATTTTCAATTTACATTTTTTTTATTTTCACCTCAACTATTAACTACAAAAAACACTTATTGAGATGCTAGATTAATTGTTTCTTAAATTCTTCTACAAAACGGTTTGGAGAGAAATTGACTAATACTTTGTTTGGGTATTAAATGTTAAAAACATTAATCATTACCCCATAACCCCCCCCCCCCTAAAATAAAACCCCATACCCATTGTTGGATCATATTAGTTCACGAATATGTTTGAATAAACGTAGTAAACCAATTATACAAAGTTATTATACCCATTGGTGTAAACAAAGTTTCATCAAAATTGGATTATTTATACTCGAGTGAATGAAACGGAATTTATGAATTAAAACGAATATTTTTTAGGCTCTGGGGATATCAAATCGAAAACTTAAATCGGTCCCGGGCCCATACCTTACCATGAAACGTACGGTAATGGCTTATTCCTTATGTTGTAAATTCGCTTAAACCTATGAATATTGATAACCTGATTCCAGTAAATCAGAATTTAGGTAGATGGACCTTTTTTGTTCCAAATTCAAAAATCTTTATATTTTCTACGCTTCACTTTGTCTTCTGTTTCTCCAGCTGCCAACAGGGTTTGTTTCTCTCAATCCCAAAGATGTCATCGTGTATATCCACGGGGGCTGCTTCACATTTGGAGGAGGTCACGTCTTCAAGCCGACCTACTTACTAGAGCGAGACGTTATCTATGTATCAATAAACTACAGGCTAGGTCCTCTTGGTAAGTTATGTTTGTAGCGTAAGGATAAACAAGTATAAAAGTCGCTGAAAATAAATCTGAATTCTGTCCCCGATATCGCTTCCTTTTTTGCTCGACTTTCCTACGAATGAAATATTGTCATATTGTACATGCATTGTTCTTGTGCTATCAGAAAAATTATCAAATAGTTTCACTAATTGTGTAATAAGATAATTGCAAATTAATAAAACTACCAGAAAAAAATTATACAACCAACTTTTAACAGGATTTCTAAGTACTGAAGATGATATTGTTCCTGGCAACATGGGCTTGAAAGACCAGGTGATGGCGCTGCAGTGGATACAGAAAAATATAGCAGCTTTTGGAGGAAACGCTGGCAGTGTGACTATTGCTGGAATGTCAGCTGGGGGCGCTAGTGTGCACTACCACTACCTCTCACAGAGATCAGTAGGTTAGTGTAAAGTTGCGTGTAGACAAGAGGTATACTCTCTAGTGTGCATTACCACTACCTTTCACAGAGATCAGTAGGTTAGTGTAAAGTAGCGGGTAGACAACAGGTGTGCATAACCACTACCTCTCACAGAGATCAGTAGGTTAGTGTAAAGTAGCGGGTAGACAACAGGTGTGCATAACCACTACCTCTCACAGAGATCAGTAGGTTAGTGTAAAGTAGCGGGTAGACAACAGGTGTGCATAACCACTACCTCTCACAGAGATCAGTAGGTTAGTGTAAAGTAGCGGGTAGACAACAGGTGTGCATAACCACTACCTCTCACAGAGATCAGTAGGTTAGTGTAAAGTAGCGGGTAGACAACAGGTGTGCATAACCACTACCTCTCACAGAGATCAGTAGGTTAGTGTAAAGTAGCGGGTAGACAACAGGTGTGCATAACCACTACCTCTCACAGAGATCAGTAGGTTAGTGTAAAGTAGCGGGTAGACAACAGGTGTGCATAACCACTACCTCTCACAGAGATCAGTAGGTTAGTGTAAAGTAGCGGGTAGACAACAGGTGTGCATAACCACTACCTCTCACAGAGATCAGTAGGTTAGTGTAAAGTAGCGGGTAGACAACAGGTGTGCATAACCACTACCTCTCACAGAGATCAGTAGGTTAGTGTAAAGTAGCGGGTAGACAACAGGTGTGCATAAAACCACTACTTCTCTAATAAATCAGTAAGATACGATCAAAAGATCAACACCAAGATGCTGCTAATAAACACAGTGTTAAAGTCCGTTAGGTTGACAGAGCTTCTGTTTTAAAATACGTCCACAAGTTATCCTCTGGTGTGTTAGATAGAGACTGAATAAACCGGAGGTGGATCGAGCCACTGTCCCAATATAATGATGACGATAAAAAAGAAAAAAAACTATAACAACGGTTTTTTAAGACCCGGGTTCCATTTTTTATTGGGCTTTAAATTAATTATGCTATCCAACAACAAGGTCGACGTTAGTTAGTAATAAAACCAGTGTTTGGACCGTTTTCTTTCAAAACGTAAAAAATTCCATTGGCGTAGAAAAAAAACTAAATAAAACTTAACAATTAAAAGTGGCTATGATTTTAACAAAATTGTTGTGATATGGTCCATAACCAACGTTTGCGATAAACGTAATACCTTAAAATGAAAGTTGAAGTTGTATTGACAGCGGGAAAGTGCCTTAAAAGCCTGGAAAGCGGCTCAAATCTGAAGCGGAAGTACTGTGCAGAGCTAAAAGATAATGTTTAGGAATATGTGAGCTTGAAGTTATACTTTATTATTTAATGTGAGCTGAGAGCCCCAATCGATGGGTTTTTTTATTATAATTTTATATATCCAAATCTATATTATGTTTACAAAGTGCCCACACAAAGCTGATTCATCTGTAATCCCATAAAACTTTCTAACCAAATCAGAGGTTGCATTGGGCTACCATACCGAGTAAAAAAAACTGCTATTCTAGAATAATTTTATTTGACAAATTTACTTCCTTTAATATTTACGCACATTCTTACCTGTTATTGTGATTTTCTTCCAAAAAAAATGTTTTAAATTGGTAATACCTTATAGGACATACGATTGTTTTTGTTATTCTTGGCTGCATATTCATGTCCCAAGAGATTGGCATGCAGTTTGGTTTCATTTAGCTTACAATTATTACAGGTAATTGTCAATTAAAGTAAATCAATTAAGTTAATGAGAGTTACACTGTACTCTCTACCACTTAACCTGTTGAGAGGTTAAGTGGTAGAGAGGACTTGCTAGTCCTAACTTCGCCTCTTAAATAAAGACATTTTTCATTTCATTTCATTTCATTTCATTACAGGTTGATTTTCTATAACCGTATAGTGTCTATTTCAAAAGTTCTGGTACGGTATTAAGTGTAAGTTCATATGTAATATTGAAACAATAAAATCTAATATACAGCTTTTCCCATTTCATTAACAGTATATTACATTTTCGTTGTTATTGAGCCTAAGTTGTCCTAGCTTCTGTATGTATTCGGATGTAAATGACATAATAAGTAACAAGCCATTCTCAAAAGAAAACTTGGCCCATGAACTTGTACCGTCTCGTACAATTGTTTATTATCGCACTATTACAGGGTTGTTCCACAAGGGCATCTCGATGAGCGGGTCGGCCACCTTGCCCTGGGCTCAGACAGAGGAACCTGCCTCCAAGGCTCGCACCCTAGCCTCGGCCCTGGGCTGTCCCGTGGCACCTAACTGGGATATGGTCAAGTGTCTGAGGAAACGACCCGCCAGAAGGATCGTTGCTCTTCTCAGGACACCTTTGTTTATGGTCAGAATATTAGAAAATACTTGTCAAATTCATATAAATATAGTACACTAATAGTACAGTAGTAAAACGGGGTAACTTGAGACAGTGTGGTAACTTGAGACAATTTGCAGATTTTTTTTACATTTTTTTGTTGGCATACCTGATGAGTTATTGGGAGTTTCCTTAGTGTGAACACGTCATGGAATTTGATCCCTTAACTACTGTATATTAACACATATTGTGATATTCAAGGTAAGATACTTTATTTATGTATTTATTTTGAGTAACAGATGTTCAAAAATTATAGGCTGTATAACTTACCTTGTAGCATCAAGTCTATTATTAGGAATTCAATGATTGTTATTACTTACCTAACTTCAAAAGCTGAGTTGTCAATAATAATCTTCTCTATTCTTAAACGACATGGTATATTAGGTGAGGTCAATACTTCAGTATGATAATATTTTTGTTGGGCATCACTCACCTTATTGAAGTCACGAGAACGTAGTCCTTGTCATGTCACAATCATACACAGTTCATTGCACATAAAATATACAAAAATAAAAATAAAAATAAATCCAAATTTAAAATATTAGACAAAAGTTCTCAACACCGACGTTTCGCCGCACCAAAATCAACGTGCGGCGTTTTCAAGGTTATTCCTCTTCTCACGTAATCGTTGTGAGCGCCTAACCACGACTGACGACCCCGGTGGTGGAGGAGGGGGAGGGGGGACTCTGTTATCAAGAACAGCTGATGGCATTATCTTCTTTTGTTTAGATTTTTCTATGCATCCTTTAATTTCTTTCTCTATTAGTGTATTGTAAACCGGGCTGATATCAATGGATGCGTTGGCTAATGAATCTTGATCTGAAGTAATAAACAAAGCCACCGCTCCACCACCGGGGTCGTCAGTCGTGGTTAGGCGCTCACAACGATTACGTGAGAAGAGGAATAACCTTGAAAACGCCGCACGTTGATTTTGGTGCGGCGAAACGTCGGTGTTGAGAACTTTTGTCTAATATTTTAAATTTGGATTTATTTTTATTTTTATTTTTGTATATTTTATGTGCAATGAACTGTGTATGATTGTGACATGACAAGGACTACGTTCTCGTGACTTCAATAAGGTGAGTGATGCCCAACAAAAATATTATCATACTGAAATAATCTTCTCACTAAGCTATTGCCAACCTAAAATTTATAAAAAAATAAAATACCCTGTTCTGTCCTTGGTGGGGTAACTTGAGACAACTGATTTGACGAAGAAGGTGCTACAGTCAGTGCTATGAAGCGGACTCTCAAGGATAACTGGAAATGGCCGGAAAAAAGGATGAACTTGACTATCGTTGGGAAGATATTGTTGGTGGTATTAACCCCCCTAAAATGCACAATAAGAGGGGGTTTTTTTAGTGCCAGAATTGAACGAAATTTACTAAGTTATGTCTGACATTATGAAAAAAATATTGTTTCCTCTTTTTTAAATACATCTTTTTTTAGTTTGTAAGTTCATATGTGTATTCCTTTGTTTTCCTAGATATTTTATTATGTCTCAAGTTACCATTGCATTATCTAATTTGAGACAACTGTTGTTTTAACATCTGTGTCTCAAGTTACCCCATTTATATGGGTAACTTGAGACACTAATAAAAATAAATAAATAAATAAAATTTCTATATTTACACCAATTATTAAATGTAGAAACCATAGTAACCAGGGTAACTAATGTTTTATTCTAGTTTTTGCAGATTTCCCTATAAAATTATTTGGTAGGGGTTTCTTTTAAGTTGAAAAATGTCTCAAGTTACCCCGTTTTACTCGGTACTAAGAGTACAGTATACTAATAAAACATATACTATGCTTGTTAAAAAGTAGACTGAACATTAACTGTCCAGTTTCCAAACATCCCAATACATTTAAAATATGTGAAAGCAATCAGCAAGTATGAGCATGGCTAACCTCATTTTCCTCATTGCGATGTAGACAGGCTCATGCTGCAGATGTAGCTCATTACTTTAATTTAGAATCGGAAAGAGTGTGACACTGGTAATAAAACCGGTTTACAACAGCTGCACCATTTTAACATGCCTTACTAAAAGGCTTCTATATAGCAAACTTTACTATCCTTAATGTCACAGTATAAAAAGTCATTTAGTTTTGACGTTTACACATTGTAGAAGGTTTATTCCACTGATCTAGTTAGGAATTGGTTACGGATAGTATGAAAAAGTCAATGATAAAAGAACTTTACTTTCACTACAACAGCTATTGAATAACTTTATAAACAAAACAACTGATAACTAACCTATTTAATTTATGATTCTCTATGTACCTGGTTGTCTATTTTCGTAGCCCTGGCACTTCAACCCCACGACCCCGTTCGGACCTGTGCAGGAGCGGGTGGGGATGACACCTTTCCTCAGTCAACATCCCTTTGACATCCTCAGGATGAACCATGTGCAGCCACGACCTTGGCTAGTCAGTGTAACCTCGGAGGAAGGTCTTTACCCTGCTGCTAGTGAGTCATTGATACTTTTTTTAAATCGTTTATTTATAAATATAAGAACCCCTCCCCCCTTCAAAAAACCAAATAAAGTGGACAAGAATTAAGATAATGTCGAGATGTAATGTAACTCTCCATGTTAAGACTAATATAATATAAAAATACTTTTTGTATTAGATTTTAACATAGAATAACGATTGAGACTTAGTTATCGAAAGCATTTGTGAAATTAAAAATATTATATTATTGGCCTTTTGTATCTTAAAATTGAGTATTACCATTGACTATTGGATGCTGAAGTAAAAGGTATTACTTTACATTTTCTTTTCCAATGTCTCCAATATAAAATTATATAATGTCGAGATGATTCATTGGTAGTTTTGAAAATTGGTCTTGATGACAATATCGATCAAATTGTAGTCAATTGTAAATCAAAAACTTTCGAGATATTTGAGTAGTTCCACTTGTATAATTTTACCATTTACTCATTAATGTGAAACATTTTATATCATTGTTTTATAATAAATTATTGGTTTTAAAACATGGCAGGCGAAGTAGGTGAATGAATATTAACAGTCTTGATATGTTTTACTTTTTTACAGATTTTGTAGCGAACGCAACTTTATTAGCAGAGATTGAACAGAACTGGTTGAACATTGCACCAGCTCTCTTAGATTACAACTACACTGTACTGCCTCATCGCAGGGATGAAACTAGCATGAAGATCAAGCAGTTCTACATGAAGGGCCAGCCGATATCACGGCCAACCGTAGCACCTTTTATTCAAGTAATCAGTTATTTCAATTAGTTCGCTATTTTTAAATCAATATTGACATCGTATAATCAATCCGACGAATTGGAATCCTGAGCGGATGTAAATATTCTTTCTGTTTGAAGCGTGGCTTTAATTAATTCTCTGTTCATGTACTACTCAACCTTGGGCATGGTAAGAAATGGATTCAGTTAGAAATAATCTTATAACCCTTTTGCCTTTGTGTATTTTTCTCTGTAAATGATAATACCCTTTTATTTAATTTAAGAATCTAGATATCGTATCCAACTAAATCATCTGGAGCTATGATAAATCATCATCGGTAGTATCACTGCACAGTTTGATATCTATTTTCCAACTTGAGTGTTGTTCAATGTCTAGATGGCTGGGGACCGACTATTTGTTGTGGAGACTGAGAGGTCTGCTAGGATGCAGGCTGCTGCCAGACTAGCGCCTGTGTACTTCTACAAGTTCTCCTACAGGGGAAAACACTCGCTCTCAGAGCTGGTATCAGGCGGATCCACAGAAAACTTCGGTGAGATTTCGTGATTTATCATCCTTAACCTTTAACCTAAATCAATTTGGATTAAACCGCAGACTACATCTTATAATTATATGTACTAATGGATCTCTTTACGGGTCTTAACAGCAAACTTCAGTCTTAAGGAAGTTACATAACTGCAAAATTACTAGAAGGCCTAATTAATACTTGTTTTAGACTTAATGTCTGAATTTTCTGTTTTTATTATGAATTAAGAATTATTTTTTTAAATACGTATAATATGCGAAGTATGTGGCATCCATCGTCTGGAATTTAAACAACATTTAATTCTCATATTTTTATGTGAAAATTACGAAATCAAATTTTTAACATCTCCGAAGCTTAGATATTAGCACTGCAAATCTCTACCAGATTTACAAACAGTACTAATTAAAACATGAATTTGAAAATACTTTCTTTGCAGCAATATTCTTTGCATTAGTTTTACAATATCTTTCGCAACAAAGGCCTTCATTTTTTTACATAAGGTTTTGACGCAGGAGTAAGTCACGGGGATGACTTGGGATACGTCGTTGGAGTCAAGTACATAAATCCTACAGAAATTGAGTCAGACCGTAGAATGAACAAGCTCATGGTAGACATGTGGATAAACTTTGCCAAAACTGGGTAAGTTATATCTCAATAGAAATAATTTGTATACAAAATAGTACAAACATTACTGAATAAACACAAAAATACGTAGAACTATTGAAAATCTCTTATCCCCTGTATAAGAGAATGAGAAATCAGATTAAATACAATGAAAATGTATGATATGCTATTACAATCCACAGAGCTCAAAAAGGATTTTTTAACACAACTATAAAATGTGAATTTAACATTTCCAAATCAAGTTTGTTCTAGTCAAAAATACTATAAAATTAACCACTGTATGTATGCTGCTACCGGAGTCATATTAATGGTAATGGTGGTTAATGGTTTGGCTTTACACAAATAATTAAACTATTTGTTCACGATTAGAAGATAGTATTCAATTTTGACAAAGCATTTACTGTTTGTCCTATGATTAGCTTTTAGTGCTAATCATCATGAAACCCGTAATTATCAACCATTTCTTGAACAATATTTTGCTTAAATTGATTTAGTGAAGCTTTCTACAATAGGCCTAAATCAATGGTGTGTGCAATATAAATGTATGAATAATAGATTAAATAGTCGGCCTACTTGGTTGCATCTGTACTAGTGCCAATCAGTAACAAATCTACAAAAGTTATTTGCATACATTTTACACTCATCCTTCATTCATATATATTACGTCCTATTTCGTCTTCATATCAACTGATTATAATAGTAATTATACAATGTATGCGTAACGTTTTTGAGGAAGCTTGTGCATTTGAATCATTATATACTTGTACAATTAATACTTCCATAAACAAGTTTAAATTGTTAAACAATGTAGGCTGGTGCTGTTGTTGACTAAGCATTTGTTAATCTTAGTAAATTTACCTGTTTCACAGGAAGCCTGTATTTGGTGCCTCAGACTGGGTACCCGTGTCACCCATCGCTGGTACCTCAGGTCCACTTAACTATCTGCACATCACCTCCCCAGACCAGGCCAAGACAGAGTCGTCTACCGACCTGGGCAACAAAGCATTCTGGGACTCACTGCCTCTCAACGAACCACCTAACATGTTTGCTGGACCTGGGAGACACACTGAGTTCTAGGTCCTCTCCTGTACATCATCTCCCCAGACCAGGCCAAGACAGAGTCATCTAACGACCTTGGCAACAGAGCATTCTAGGACTCTCTACCTCTCAACGAACCACCTAACATGTTAGCTAGACCTGGGATACACACTGAGTTCTATGTCCTCTCCTGTACATCATCTCCCCAGTCCAGGCCAAGACAGAGTCATCTAACGACCTTGGCAACAGAGCATTCTAGGACTCTCTACCTCTCAACGAACCACCTAACATGTTTGCTAGACCTGGGATACACACTGAGTTCTATGTCCTCTCCTGTACATCATCTCCCCAGACCAGGCCAAGACAGATTCATCTATCGATCTGGGCAACAGAGCGCTCTGGGACTCTCTACCTCTCAACGAACCACCTAACATGTTTGCTGGACCTGGGAGACACACTGAGTTCTAGGTCCTCTCCTGTACATCATCTCCCCAGACCAGGCCAAGACAGATTCATCTATCGATCTGGGCAACAGAGCGCTCTGGGACTCTCTACCTCTCAACGAACCACCTAACATGTTTGCTAGACCTGGGAGACACACTGAGTTCTAGGTCCTCTCCTGTACATCATCTCCCCAGACCAGGCCAAGACAGATTCATCTATCGATCTGGGCAACAGAGCGCTCTGGGACTCTCTACCTCTCAACGAACCACCTAACATGTTTGCTAGACCTGGGAGACACACTGAGTTCTATGTCCTCTCCTGTACATCATCTCCCCAGACCAGGCCAAGACAGATTCATCTATCGATCTGGGCAACAGAGCGCTCTGGGACTCTCTACCTCTCAACGAACCACCTAACATGTTTGCTGGACCTGGGAGACACACTGAGTTCTATGTCCTCTCCTGTACATCATCTCCCCAGACCAGGCCAAGACAGATTCATCTATCGATCTGGGCAACAGAGCGCTCTGGGACTCTCTACCTCTCAACGAACCACCTAACATGTTTGCTAGACCTGGGAGACACACTGAGTTCTAGGTCCTCTCCTGTACATCATCTCCCCAGACCAGGCCAAGACAGAGTCATCTACCGACCTTGGCAACAGAGCATTCTAGGACTCTCTACCTCTCAACGAACCACCTAACATGTTTGCTGGACCTGGGAGACACACTGAGTTCTAGGTCCTCTCCTGTACATCATCTCCCCAGACCGGGCCAAGACAGAGTCATCTACCGACCTTGGCAACAGAGCATTCTAGGACTGTCTACCTCTCAACGAACCACCTAACATGTTTGCTGGACCTGGGAGACACACTGAGTTCTATGTCCTCTCCTGCTCATCATCTCCCCAGTCCAGGCCAAGACAGAGTCATCTAACGACCTTGGCAACAGAGCATTCTAGGACTCTCTACCTCTCAACGAACCACCTAACATGTTTGCTAGACCTGGGATACACACTGAGTTCTATGTCCTCTCCTGTACATCATCTCCCCAGTCCAGGCCAAGACAGAGTCATCTAACGACCTTGGCAACAGAGCATTCTAGGACTCTCTACCTCTCAACGAACCACCTAACATGTTTGCTAGACCTGGGATACACACTGAGTTCTATGTCCTCTCCTGTACATCATCTCCCCAGTCCAGGCCAAGACAGAGTCATCTAACGACCTTGGCAACAGAGCATTCTAGGACTCTCTACCTCTCAACGAACCACCTAACATGTTTGCTAGACCTGGGATACACACTGAGTTCTATGTCCTCTCCTGTACATCATCTCCCCAGTCCAGGCCAAGACAGAGTCATCTAACGACCTTGGCAACAGAGCATTCTAGGACTCTCTACCTCTCAACGAACCACCTAACATGTTTGCTAGACCTGGGATACACACTGAGTTCTATGTCCTCTCCTGTACATCATCTCCCCAGACCAGGCCAAGACAGTGTCATCTAACGACCTTGGCAACAGAGCATTCTAGGACTCTCTACCTCTCAACGAACCACCTAACATGTTTGCTAGACCTGGGATACACACTGAGTTCTATGTCCTCTCCTGTACATCATCTCCCCAGTCCAGGCCAAGACATAATCATCTACCGACCTTGGCAACAGAGCATTCTAGGACTCTCTACCTCTCAACGAACCACCTAACATGTTTGCTAGACCTGGGATACACACTGAGTTCTATGTCCTCTCCTGTACATCATCTCCCCAGACCAGGCCAAGACAGAGTCATCTAACGACCTTGGCAACAGAGCATTCTAGGACTCTCTACCTCTCAACGAACCACCTAACATGTTTGCTAGACCTGGGATACACACTGAGTTGTATGTCCTCTCCTGTACATCATCTCCCCAGACCAGGCCAAGACAGATTCATCTATTGATCTGGGCAACAGAGCGCTCTGGGACTCTCTACCTCTCAACGAACAACCTAACATGTTTGCTAGACCTGAGAGACACACTGAGTTCTATGTCCTCTCCTGCACATCATCTCCCCAGTCCAGGTTAAGATAGAGTTATCTACAGACTTTAGCAACAGAGCGCTCTGGGACTCTCTACCTCTCAGCGAACAACCTAACATGTTTGCTAGACCTGAGAGACACACTGAGTTCTATGTCCTCTCCTGCACATCATCTCCCCAGTCCAGGTTAAGATAGAGTTATCTACAGACTTTAGCAACAGAGCGCTCTGGGACTCTCTACCTCTCAACGAACAACCTAACATGTTTGCTAGACCTGAGAGACACACTGAGTTCTATGTCCTCTCCTGCTCATCATCTCCCCAGTCCAGGTTAAGATAGAGTTATCTACAGACTTTAGCAATAGAGCGCTCTGGGACTCTCTACCTCTCAACGAACAACCTAACATGTTTACTAGACCTGACAGACACACTGAGTTCTATGTCCTCTCCTGCACATCATCTCCCCAGTCCAGGTTAAGATAGAGTTATCTACAGACTTTAGCAACAGAGCATTCTGGGACTGTATACCTCTCAACGATCAACGTAACATGTTTGCTGGACCTGGGAGAAACACTGAGTTTTAGATAAATGTAGACATTGCCCTTTTATAACTCCTCTCATTATTACGTCATATTATGTTCTTCAACTTATTTAAAAATAAATTTAAAAATAAACTTATACTTTTAATAGTGTTAATAATTAGTCGGGACCACGAAAGTTTGCAGTTGAGGGAGGAGCCTATTTACCACGTGACTTCGATGGAGCCAACGGGCGATATGTCAACGTCGCACTAGCTTTGTCTTGTGATTGGCTGACACCAACTGCAAACTTTCGTAGCCCCGAATGCTTTTCCTTCTTTTGCTATCCATACTTTCTAAATTAAAAATACTCTCTGATTCAACATGAACAATTATATCTAGGTTTTTTTAGAGGTCAGCGGCCTCTTTTAACCTTGCAAGCCCGACCACATAAACTAACTGCCCGTTCATGAATCGTATACAGCAAAGCAAGGAGTGAGCCGGTACAGTACAAAGGTGAACTATACTGGTAAAATGTTTTCGGCAGTGACCATGATCCGAACCCACGACATCCGTGTGCCTTGGGCCCGAAGTCCGTGACGCTATCGACTGAGCCACCGACTCACTAAGGTTTTTGATTCGTTGGGTAAATTGTGAGTTTAAAACTGAATGATCCTACGTTAGTGAAAGTCTTCGACAGCAATTTACGGATAATTAATTTTAATTAAAATTTAACTCTGTTCATATTCTGCAAGAGCTTTGAGACTGGTGTAATCCTTGGATGATAAAGCTCAAGATTAGGCTGATTAAAGTTCCTTTAGTTCTCAATTAGTCATGGTTTTGACGAAGTTTTAGATAAATGTATATATCCACGTCATATAAATATCCGGTAATTTTTAAACAATAAGATTAAATTCATAAAAAAACTATATCTTAAACTATCTAAAGACGGGGAATAGCTTTAAAAGTCTTAATAAACATTATTAGAAATTTTCTTATGTTATCATAGTAAATAAAGTAATGAAAATTATACGAATAGTTTGCTAAAGAAATCTCAAATTTCTTGAATAGATCATTTTATTTGCCCAATTTAGCTATCCATGATTATCGCGTTCATAATTAATGCGAACAATATATTCTCTATTTTTTTCAATAACGTTATGTACTCATTACATATTTTCATATTATGTACTTTGAAAATTTAACAATAATACAATTCAATTATTTTAGGCCACATTAATAATCTGATAGACGATCACCTAGTAAATTATGTTACCAAACAACTACGTGACTGCACTCTGCACTACAGTATACTTCGGAAAATCCACCTTGAGCAAAGTATGAAATAGACACAGTGAACTGCTTGAATGTAATATAGTTTGTTCTAGAATGAAAATCAACCATTCATCATCATTTATCATAAAACCAATTGTACGTTTATACTAGCCTCTATATCCATAGTTAGAAAACATATAATTTATTATTGATCAAGAAAAACTTCAAATGAATTACAGACCAGTTTAGGTAAATATACATTATATATATATATATATATATATATATATATATATATAATTCCATCTATAGCGTTTGCCTGATTATCTGTAATTTTCAACCACCACCTCTAACTCATAAATGATAGTTTTTTAGACGGTTAAATTATAATGTATAAATATATGTAATTATAAGTTATACATAATTACGAAGTTATTTTGGAAGAAATTCAAATGTTATATCTAATATCTTTGACAGCCATCAAACTTTATATTAACATTATAAGAATGCACCTTTATAACAATAATCATATTTAGGTTTGTACAAACTTGTAACATTTTTATGTCATATTATTCTTTGAGACTACAATGAGTAGTAAGATGTCAATTTTTAAAATAAATTAAAATTCATATTTATATGCATGTATAATTATATATATGTATAATTATTATTGAATGTTCTAGTAGGTAAAAATAGTCTCAAAACCTTCGTTCATGATTCTAGATACCTTAAAAGCTAGCTACTCTAAGCTGGAAAATCCTCTTAACGAATACAGAACAAGATGTATCAACAAAGCTACTAGGTTATAAATGATGTCTTGCACTCAACAGTCAATAGTAAATGGTCTCTAGGGTTTGTAATGTAATTTATGAGGGCTTGCATTTTATAGCTTAGTACCGGGGGACCGAGCCTTGCTCGGTTTGATCAGACACATTTTATCATTTACAAAAATAGTTTTATTATAAACCAAAAACATTTAATCGCTGAAATAATGTTAATGTGTATCTAATTACACCCGTTTCATAAATCGTAGCATTTAGATTATTTACAGTACCGTTACTTGAGTAATTACATTTTGTTTTAATACTTACCACTGACATTACTGTACACATATATAAACTGAAAGCTCATAGTTTTTTGACGTTTCGATTTTATAATGGGCAGCAATGATGTAATGCTACGGTATATGAGACTGGGACGGGTGGCGTCGTCCTGTAATCCAGCTACTAGGAGGTCACGAATTGTGGATAATTATAGGGATGCACTGTGGATGCGATGCTCCCTGGTGTGGATTAACATCCGCACTAGTGAGTACTACGACTATCCGCAGTACCGGAACATGTCGGCCTTAGTCACTAACAAGACTACAAGATCGCGCCACTCATCCTACACTCATCCTTCACTCATATTTGGGTTAAAATAGAAGTAGCAGAAGTAGAAAAAAGCAACCAGCTGCTATAGCCAGCCTACGACAAACTGTGTTAATGTGTTTTATTCTAAACTAACTGTTGAAGTGAGGACACTTCAAGGCCGGGAGTATGTTCAGTTCTTTTATCTAAAATTTTTTTTAGCCTGTTTAGAATTTTTAAATTACTAAAACAGCTGATGATTTAAAGATAATCCATTGTATTATACAGGGTGTCCCGGAACTCTCTACCAATATTTTAGGGCATTGCTCCTGGGTAAGAAACATACCTAAATACCATATTTAAATTGTCCGGAAGTCCTTAGTTACTCACACAGCCACCATTTTGTTTTTTCAGTTATTAAATTTTTTCTAAAGAATGGTTAAACGTACGAAATGGAAACTTTGCACAAACACTTAGGACAACTAGACAAAGCTACAAAAAAATTATGAAGATTTTTCAAATTCATCAAACAAAATGGCGACCATTTAAAATTTTGTTTCTTAAATAACTCAAAAACCGTTGATTTTATAAAAATTTTAAATGTCCGCCATTTTGTTTTATGTTTTTGAAAAATCGTCATATTTTTTTTCGTAGCTTTGTCTAGTTGTCATAAAGGTATGTGCAAAGTTTCCATTTCGTATGTTTAACCATTCTTAAGAAAAAAATTAATAACTGAAAAAAACAAAATGGCGGCTGTGTGAGTAACTAAGGACTTCCGGACAATTTAAATACGATATTTAGGTATGTTTCTTACCCAGGAGCAATGCCCTAAAATATTGGTAGAGAGTTCCGGGACACCCTGTATAAATAAACATTTTTCCTTTTCTGTTCTTCTTGTAAACATGACTTTTATTTTTTCTCTCTTAATTTTTCATTAATTTACTCAAACACTCCACAGATGGAATGGTCAATATTTTCTCGTTTGAATTCTCACTGTTTACGCCACCAGTCAATACACCATGCTTACTTGTCATTGTAGAAAGGTATATACGAATAACATGGTTATTTCAATTAAAACATAGTAGTTTTAATACTTGTAATACCAATTTTTAGGAAAATATGCCCAATTTCACGATGTTGTTCTATCTACATAAGGCAATGTAATTTATCAAAAGCTCGACGCCGTAGAGCGTGGTATTCATAGAAGTAGTTCAGGTCAATTTAATGGTATTATAATTTTTTTTTTTTATTTTAATGGTTAAGTATGATATTCTGTCCAGGCAATTATATTCTTTGGTTTGGTTCTGCTTATCACATAGTATTCCCTTTATCATAGGTTTGATGGAACAAGAAAACAGTACATATCTTAATAAACTTCAATGTTAATGTTATCTTGGTGGCTTTATAACAAGTATTTCGTACATGTTTGTTTGTTTATAAAACTGCGTAATTGCAAAGATTACATGATCCGTACTAATATTTATTATAAGGTGTGATCAATAGCTTGTTGTTTTAGTAAAAGTATTATTATAATGAACTGTTATATATTTTTTTGTGTAAACTGCAAATAATATTTTTTATAATCGTGTAAACGTTACCAGCCGAAATTGCGTTTCAGCTGATACCGACTTTGGGTTTTGGCTGGTAGAGACATTGGGTTTTGGCTGGTAGTTACATTGGGTTTGGCTGGTAGTGACATTGGGTTTTGGCTGGTAGGGAAGTTCGGTTTCCGTAGCGGCAAGTGATTTTCTCGAGATGTCAAATTAAATTTGTCAAGTAAGAGGATAAATTTCTAGATCGAATGAGGCTAAAAGCGGAATAGACTTTTGTGATGAGTGTGTTGAGGCACAGCCACCTCTGTTGAGGGGTTTGTGGGTGATGAGTCACTCTAGAAGAGGTTGATTGTAAGATGACGGACGAGCTTCTTGTTCCTCACCTTCTCTGACTGGCTCATCATCCAGGTGACTCAGGCAGGAGAAACAGGAGATCATAAACAGTCTGGAAATAGCACATGTCAATAAATAGCAACAGTTACAATATGTAGTGACGTTGGCTTATTGCTGGTAGTTACTTTGGTTTTGGCTGGTAGTGACGTTGGATTTTAACTGGTATTGACCCTTCGTCAACTTCCTTTGTCAGTGGCAAATGCCAATAGTGAAAAGTTACTAAATCTAGCTAAAAAAAAACCAGGTAGAGATGTTGTCAGGGAAGCAAAGAGACGATATTATAGGGAGGCATGCAGATCACGGAACGCAGATACATCTGTTAACAGGTAATTTTTTATACATTTCATTATACTATAATTAATGTAATCTATTATTTATGTTTTATGGTTTATACCTGAATTGGTATAATGATCTGTTATTCAATATCATGTTGGGAGTTATTAGGGAAAATAATGTTAACGTTGTTAAGTTTTTCAAACTATTAGTTCAAGCTTTGAGTGAAATGATTCCTATTATTTATACAGCGTTTCCAAAAAAGGTTTTGGAGTTTGGAATATGGTTCCTCATACTAAAAAATGAAACCATTTCCAAAAAGAAATTT